AACTTTACCCCTGGATGCACTTGTTTTCTTTAGTGATGGGGCACATTTTCACCTATCCAGATATGTCAACAAGCAGAATATGTGCTATTGGAATGCTAACAATCCCAGAGAGCTCCATGAGAGGCCACTTCGCAGTGATAAGGTGACAGTATGGTGTGCGCTGTCAAGAGTTGCAGTTATTGGCCCTTATTTTTTTGAAGAAGAAGATCATGAAGTTACTGTCAATTCATAGTGGTATGTGGACATGATTAAAAACTTTTTCGAACCAGCTCTTGAAGAAATGCATCTAGGAAATGTCTGGTTCCAACAGGATGGTGCCACGGCCCACACAGCCTGAGCTTCGATGACACTTTTGAGGGCAAAGTTCCCCAGATGGCTCATCTCGCTTCGAGGTGACATCCCATGGGCAGTGCACTCGCCTGATCTAACGCCCTGTGATGTTTTTATGGGGATACCTCAAGGCAGAGGTTTTTAAACATCAGCCCACAAACCTGCTGCGGCTGAAGAATGTTATTCGGCAGGAAGTAGCCCAAATTCCGGTCCACATGTTGGAACATGCACAGGGGACTTCAGAAAACGGTTGCATCAGTGCATAGAGAATGGTGGCCACCACCTTCAAGATATTTTGTTTAAAACTACATGATTTAAAACTTTTAAGTATGTTCTTTCATTAGCTAAACATAAATTTTGTTTATCAGCAATAATTTTTTTTATTCGCCTTCAAAAAAAAAAGGAAGTTTCTGCCCCATCCTGTATAATAATATCATCCGCAGACACCATTATTTGCGTTTGTTTATATGCATTTGTGTTCCTTGTGCCTTACATTTCCTCACTATATATTCCAATACCAAATTAAATAATGATGGTGCCAAATTATCTCCCTGTTTAATCCTTGATTTGTCTTAAAGCATTCCATTAACTGGTTCTGGATTTTAATTTGATTGATTGTTTCTGTAATGGTTAACTTAATTATTCTACTTAGCTTTCTTGGAATACCAAAAGCGGACATAATCATCCTTAATTTCTTCCTTATTACTGTATCATATGCTTGTTTAAAATCTATGAAGCATAGGTAAATATCTGTATTAAATTCCCAGCATTTTTCCGTTATTTGTCTCAGGGTGAATAAATTGTCTATTGTTGACCTATT